ATTTCATGGAGATCTTCCTGGCTCAGTCTCCCAAAGTGCTACAATTAAAGGCTAATTCTAGCACTTTGGGAGACTGAGCCAGGAGGATCACTTGAGTCCAGGAGTTCAAGACCAGCCTGGGCATGGTGGCTCATGCCTGTAATCCCAACACTTTGGGAGGCCAAAGTAGGAGGATGGCTTGAGTCCAGTAGTTCAAGACCAGCCTGGGCAGCAAAGTGAGGCTTATTCTCTACAGATGATTTTTTTAAAATTAGCTGGGCATGGTGGCACACATCTGTGGTCCCAGTTACTTTGGAGACTGAGGTGGGTGAATCACTTGAGCCCTAGCAGTCAAGGCTACAGTGAGCTGTGATCATGCCACTGCACACCAGCCTGGACAACAGAGTGAAACTCCATCTAAAAAAAAAAAAAAAAAAAAAACTCTTGGTCCTGATTGTTATTTATTTTTCCATTTTATGTCTCACACATACACAATTATTTATGCAATTAGGTGGGCTTTCAAAATGAAATTCCTAAAAACTAGAATAACAGTTTTAATGAAGAATAGACTTAACATTTTATTAAACCTGAAATAACATTTTGCCTTAGGTAAGTATAACAGCAAAATTTAATAATTAGCAATAGTATCTGATTATGTAAAACCACCTGTCACATTAAATCAAACAACAGACTTTTCTTACCATTTCTGTGTGTAAGCATTTCTCTCATTTCCTCATGGTCACATGGATGAGTAAAATCAAACACACTGTGTCCAGTGAGTTCAAACTGTAAATACATTAAAAAAAATTAGGATTGTATCATAAAATCATAAAAACATACAGAAAGGCTCCTAATATGTGTACATTTTACCTGAGTTAATCCCATATATTTGTTCACATTATCGGAAATGTAAATCATGTCACCATCATCTGTGAGAACCATAACAAAACCATCCAAGGCTTTCAAATAAAAGCAATTCATTTGTGCTTTCATTTCATCTTCAATATCCAAATCACCTAAAAAGGGCACAAGAAAAGGAAAATTAGTTAAAAAGTTATACTTAAATGATATAATATTTAGATGTTTTTATAGTTTTCTCACAGATACTTTATTTAACATATACAGTCATTTAAACAGAGAACAGTCAAGGCCAGAAGCTAGAAAGAGCATAATTAGATGTGCCAGCTGCTTTTCATGATTATTTAAAGTAATGTAGCAAGGTAAATGATCAAAGAAGAGGAGTCATGTTTTTTAAAGGAAGAATGAAAGGTAGATGGAACAGGAGAAAAAGGAAAAATTAAAAAAAAAAACAAAAAAACAGTATCTTTAAAATTCCTGACTAAAGCTTTAAAAGGAGGTAATAAAAAGGATGTTATAATAGAAAAGAATTCAGAGTATGTTTAAAAGAATAAAGCAAAACAAAATTACAATGCAAAAAGAATGATTATTTCAAAGAATAACTTAACTGATGAGAAAAAAGTGAAGTTTGATAAAAATGGCTAGAATTATAGAACAAATTTTAAAAGTGTACATATCACAACATAATGACATATACAAAATGAAAACATTGTGACCACCTTCTAAAAATAATTTCTATTTACTTCTAATTTCTAATTTTCAGGCCTATTTACGCCCTTGTAAAATAACTCACCAGCATCCAGCAGTTTCCTCACACGCAAATAGCTGATGGTAAGTCTCATAACAGAAGCCTTATCAAGATGTGAGCTCACATTATGTGGAAGTGGCAACTGATGGGCAAGCTCATAAAAAACTTCAGATTCTTTACTTCGCCGAGATCTGGCTGCATCTCGAGACTTTTCTTTTCGACGTTCAGAACTTATCCTACTTAACAACAACAAAACAAAACAAAACATGAGACGGAAGAAGTTTGCCTTAGCTTGAATAAAACTACATTTCTGCTCATCACAGAAGGATTAGAAGATGCCATTTAATTAAATTACATTGAGTTTTGTCTACTAGATGAATGTACTTTTATAAAGGACAACTATATAAATTTTGGATTACTGCATACAAAAGGAACTCTCACAAGAAGTCCCAAACCAAGCTTTAAACCTTTCGGAAGCAGGTGTTTCTCCCCAGCATGTGTAATTGCAGAGAATGCTTTTATTTTACGCAAAAACTGAAAGTAGCCTGTATATCTAAGGCTGTACTTCATAGTCATTCAAAAGTAGTCTCAACACAAAGAAACCATGATTAAGGCTAGAGAAAACTACCTAAAGTTGTACATAATAACTTGAAAATAGGAGTTGTTAGCAGGTAGAACAGTAATAGCTACAAACTGATTTCTACTCAAGTTTCTTTAGACTCCAATACTTTCTCACTCTTTACCTTACCACATGAACAACACTGACAATAAGCTATAGGAAATGATATTAGCAGCTACAAGCCAGTGTAGGTTGCCTCCTCCCTTAGTAGCCTCTTATCTATTACTAGCACAATAGGTACCAAATAAATGTAGGAATATGGAAGAAAAAAAAGCTGTGGCACACACAATACCCAGAATTTAAAGGGATAGGTTAGCAAAGATAAAGGTGTAAATACAATGACGTATTTTCAGGGAACTAGTCCAAGAAGAAAGATTTTCATCGTCACACCAAGCAAAGACGTCTTCCTTTGCTTCACTGCCTAGTGACATCTAAGAGCTTCTTCAATACCTATAGTTTATTAAAGGCTACCATGTGCCAACATTATCCCGTACTAGGTGCCTAATTCTCTCAGGACAACCTGTATATAGGTTAAATATTGTCCCTATTTTACAAATGAGGGAACTGGCATTCAATAGGTTAAAAGTAGCCATTATGTATCAAATAGGATTTGAACTCAGGTGTTTTTTTTTACTCCAAAGTCTCATCTTTTTCAAACTGTTTCTCTTCTTAATAAGGAATGCTGCTTCTACTTCAAACACTCCCATGATCCCCTATGCCCCTCAACTCAATCCTGTTAAATTGGTTCTTGGCCAAATGTTAAAAACAACTATTACGATTTAGTGACCATTGAGCAGTCTACTAAATAAGGACTTTTAGCCAGCATTATTTCACTTAATCCTCCTTACATCCCATTAATGAAGTATGTAATTGTCTCTACCTAAAATCTCTCAAATGATCTGCAAATCTGAAAGATCCAACCACAGGGCAGCATTCTCAAGTAACAGGCACAGTTCTTAGCATATGGAACTGTTATAACTCTTGTTATAATATAACACAAGTTGTATTGTGACAATAGTGATGCTTGTTTTAGCACTTACTCAAGTTTGTGTGCTTGTAGGACTTTTATACTTTAATAAGGAATGTAAGCATGTTATTGTAGTAACTGAACTTTGACTCAAGCATCTAGATCAATTTAACTTGGGTACCTTGAAATTTAAGATGAGTTATTAAAAATTATTATCTTCATCTGGTTAGATAGATGGTGACACCATTATCACTTATAACTAGTTATATGAATCTATATGAACTATAACTAGTTACATGAACTAGGATTTTCTCAATGCTATACTATAAAAAAAATGACTCGCTGAGGCTACATGAAAATGCAAATGCCAGCAGTCTGTAATTTCATTTTTCATTTCACTGCATTGTTCTCTGTAAATGTTTTCAATCTGAATTTAGAAATGTATGACTTGATCTGTATAAGCAGAAGAGTAAAACAAAAAAAATACAATGTATGGCAATACTACTCCAGTATATAATGGAGTTCCATGCACTATTCTCAGGATGAGGGGTGTCTAGCAGGTCCCTATTGGCCTTAACAGAAACTGTTTCCCTCACTTCCTCCCCTGCCCGCTTAAAGTGGTAGGTGAGAGGCAGTGATAGCTATGAGAAGTAGATTTCTATCTGATTCAAATAAAGCCTCCAAAATAGAATGATAATCAGTTATCTCATGTTAAACCTTAATATTAGTTCAAATGCCACATCAGTCCAGGCATTCGTCGTTGCCTAGGCTGGTCTCAAACTTCTAGGCTCAAGCAATCCTCCTGCCTCATCCTCACAAACGGCTCAAATTACAGGCTTGAACCATTGTGCCTGGCCAAGGTGGTCAGAATTTTATTAAAAACTTACTATATTTGTTCTGAACCACTCAATGGATGTAAACTACCAATAAATGACTACCCAAATGAAATACTTGATTAAAAATTGAAAAGCTTATAATAGCTGCTATGTGCTTTTAAAGGGTATCTGATCAAGCTAACTATGGTAATGAAATGTCTCCAAGCCCTCTGAAATACATGTATTGTCCAGAACTTTGAAGATAGCAGTGACTGTCCAAGGAGTGGCAATAAGCATCTAAGACAAATCCATTAGAAATGTGAGGTTAGAAAAAGCATCTAAGGGACAGTATATTTAAAATCTAGTGCAGACTGAAAATAAGAACATGAGACTGAATTTTGGAAGAAAACCAACCTTCAAGAAAACAACTAATATAGACTTGAAAATCCTGTATTAGATGAAGGTGATAAAAATCATTATGTCCTTTATCATATAATGAGTCTAGACATAAACCAATCAGTGGATCTATAATAAATATTTAATGGAGAAATTTGTATAATATCCTTCATATGTAGACTACTGGAGGTCTTATAACATTTCTAAGTAACCTTAAAGCTTACTTAAAGCTAAAGCTTCCGAAATTCTTACGAGTTTCAGCACCTGAACTGCCCAGCTTCTTGTCTAGTAGTCACAAGAAGGCTAATTTTATCAGTCATTTTTTTTTTTTTTTGATACGGAGTTTCGCTCTTGTCACCCAGGCTGGAGTGCAATGGCGCGATCTCGGCTCACCGCAACCTCCGCCTCCCAGGTTCAGGCAATTCTCCTGCCCCAGCCTCCTGAGTCGCTGGGATTACAGGCACGCGCCACCATGACCAGCTGATTTTTTGTATTTTTAGTAGAGACGGGGTTTCACCATGTTGACCAGGATGGTCTCGATCTCTTGACCTCGTGATCCACCCGCCTCGGCCTCCCACAGTGCTGGGATTACAGGCTTGAGCCACCGCGCCCGGCAATTTTATCAGTCTTATACCACAGATTACAGTATTGACCAAGAATTATTTCTGTTAGACCAGGGGGTCTAGGTCCCACAGATATCAACCCTATACTATTTGTTTTACTGCTTACATTGCACAACAAAATATGTGTAGCTCGGAAGGAAATAAGTACATTTTCCGCAAGTAAATAAGGTCACTATATTTCTCTAAATGTTATAAATTGAGTCTATTTTAAGTACAGATCAAGTCAAGTTCTGCTACTGCTTAACGTACTATTTCAGCTAAGAGTACATTCAAAAGTTTGTTCACTCATATCAATGACTGTTCTAGAACTAATGTTGGAGTATACTACTGTCAAAATAGCTGAATATTTGTGGTACTGTAGTTTTTACATGCTTATTATTTAATATACAGTATTAGACACAAAAATAACAATTATATCTTGAAATTATTTTGTATAGGAAATATATTTAGAAAAATAATTTTGAGCCACTGTCTTATTAAGCTTCTTGTGTACAAAGTTCATGAATAAGCAATAGTTTTATAGAGAATGTCTATTATTCTTCAGATTAAGAACAAAATATTTGGTGCTTTTTAGGTTAGTAAAAATTAAAAAAAAAAACACAGGACACAAAATAATTGCAGGGATTTAAACTCATCTTTCCATGTTGCACAAAAGCCTGTTAGCATTCCTAATTGTAAAGGTATGGGACTTCAAGAACTGAAGTTAAGCTGTAACTATTCAAAATATTAGCAGATTATCAGATTTATTTCTAATAAAGTAAATGTACCTCAATTCTATTATTTGGTGAAATAACTCTTTCTGACCTTGAAGGAACAAGGGGGGTTTTGTTGTTTTTGCACTTGTATCAGTATTTCTACAAGACTGACGTTCTGAAGCAAAATTCCATAATATAAAAAAATGTGCTACTGAAATTTTTAAAAATAGGTAATAGTGTTCCAAAAGGTTCTGTGCCCATTTTTGTCTCTGCCAGTTCATGAATGTGTATATCAATTCCCCCATGCACTCTGCAATATTATATATTATGCATCTTTTTAAGCTTATTAATTTCTGGTCTGATAGGTGAGAATTCTATCTCATTATTTTAACTGACTTGCACTTCTCAGGCCCAAGAAAAATGCAAAAAAAAAAAAAAATTGTTCATGTTCATTTTTCAGTTGGCATTTTTGACTACAGTTTTATTTTGATTTTATTTTAGGGGGAGTCGTGCTGTCACCCAGGCTGGAGTACAGTGGCATGATCATAAGCTCACTGCAGCCTCGAAATCATGGGCTCAAGTGATCCTCTCCTTCCCTACCTTAGCCTCACACACTACTATGCCCAGCTAATTCTGTTAAATTTTTTTAGAGATGGAATCTATGTTGCCTAGACTGGTCTTGAACTTCTGGGCTAAAGCAATCCTCCTGCCTTGGCCTCCCAAAGTGGTAGGATTATAGGTGTGAGCCACCCAAACTGGCCTTTGCCAGTATTTTTAAATCCAAATATCTATGCATGGTACTTACTATGTATACAGTGGTATTCTAAACATGTTTCACCTATAATTTCATCTTTATTATCATCACCATGTTACACATAAGGACCCCTGGTTAAATAGCTTACCCAGTTACTCTGTTAATAAACCGTAGAACCTGTATTCCATTCAAGCAGTCTGGTGTCCATGTGATTAACATTAGGCTATGCTGTCTCTCAAAAACTCATCCTAATTACCAAGGCAAGTATTCTTAAGTCTAGGCTATTATTATATGAAATTTGCCTAGTTCACATACCAAAGATATAAAGAGGGAATTACAGGGGTTGGCTTCAAAATTTAGGACTTAACCTAAGCTATTCAGAGGGACTCAGGACCAGGCTTTTTCTTGGAGTTTGCTTATAAATCCAAAATCTCGGCTGGGTGTGGTAGCTCACACCTGTAATCCCAGCACTTTGGGAGGCCGAGGTGGGCAGATCACTTGAGGTCAGGAGTTTGAGACCAGCCTGGCCAACATGGTGAAACCTCATCTCTAAAAAAATAAAAATTGGTGGGTTGGTGGGCTAGTGGGATGGCAGATGAGGAAGATGATCCTACCTTTGAGGAAGAAAATGAAGAAACTGGAGGAGGTGCAGAAGGTGGACAGGATAAAAGAAACAGACTTTTTTCTAAAGAATTTTGATGTATGATGTATGGCTTTGGGGATGACCAGAATCCTTATACTGAGTCAGTAGATATTCTTGAAGATCTTGTCATACAGTTCATCACTGAAATGACTCACAAGGTAGAGAACAAGTTGAAGATATCGTCTTCTTGATTCGAAAGGACCCAAGGAAGTTTGCCAGGGTTAAAGACTTGCTTACTATGAATGAAGAATTGAAACAAGCCAGAAAAGCATTTGATGAAGCAAACTGTGGATCTTGACACTTTTTGTAGTTTCTGAAAATTACCATCTGGGGATATATATAACAACGGTATATCTTCTAAAGTAAGGTTCTGATATCTAGCCATGTAAATGAAAGACGGAGAAACACAAAGTTTTCAGCCTTTCTTTATTTATTTTTATTTTTTAGATACAGGGTTTCACCATGTTGGCCAGGCTGGTCTCGAACTCCTGATCTCAGGTGATCCACCCACCTCAGCCTCCCAAAGTGCTGGGATTACAGGCGTGAGCCACTGAGCCCAGCCTCAGCCTTTATTTTTATGCCTTTGATTTTAGAGTGATATTGGTGCGTTTAATTACCTGCCTTTGTATTACCATGCTTGAATTACTTACTGGGTTTTAATGACCACTCATAAGTCAAAGTACCTTGCAAACCATGCAGTTCCTTCTGACTTTTGACTATCTAAAGGATAAAGCAGTATTTATGTGTTAGGTATGTTTATGCCCTTATAAGCTACTGTAGCTGTTTAATATGTGAAATCTAAATAGCATTTTTGACTTGACAGCTCAGACATGTACTTTATGTAGTTGGAAGTTTTTGGACAACAACTAGTTTACTGTCTAGTTTATTATTAAACATTATTAAAGGTAATTATTATTCAAGATAATGAACTGGACTGGCCACTGTGGCTCACGCCTGTAATCCCAGCACTTTGGGAGGCCGAGACAGTTGGATCACTTGAAGCCAGGAGTTCTAGACCAGCCTGACCAATATAGCAAAACTCTGCCTCTACTCAAAATTCAAAAATTAGCTAGACATGGTGGCACGCACTTGTAATCCCAGCCACTTGGGAGGCTGAGGCAGAACTGCTTGAACCTGGGAGGTGGAGACTGCAGCGAGCCGAGATGGCATCACTGGACTTCAGCCTGGGCAATAGAGCGTGAATGACTCTGTCTCAAAAAAATAAATACAGATAATGAACTGGTTTGCATTTCTTTTAAAGAAATGACAGAGAAAATACAGTTTTTTGTAAGAATGTTTCTCTCTCTTAAAAGATAATTTGTTTTAATTTTCTTCAGGTAACTAGTTATTATTTTTATTTAAGAAACTAAGTTTCACGTAAATAATGCTGTGTTGGGAGGCTTTTTGAGTTAAAATCTTTTCGGACTTATAACATCCTGTTAAGTTTTAGGAGAACTTGTTTTCCCAGATCAGATTCAAGCTTCTAAAAATAAATGCTTTCAGTAGCAGGAATGGCACTGCTTAAAAAGCTGATGGCAGGATAAGCATTTGGGTTAGTGTTTTATTAACATATTTGTAAGTACTTGTTCATTGTGGAAATGTAACCTTTGTGGCTAAACCATATGTGGCTATGGAAACCATGTTTGTAGATACAGGTTTTGTGTGTATTTAGTCTATTGTATTAAATTATTGCCCTTAACTTAAAGTAAGGATTACAATCGCATTTAAGTAGATCATTGAATGTTATTGTTTATGAAACTTACTTTTGTGTGCCACTTATAAACATGATCTATAAATCAGTGCTTGGGAAAAGTTTACTTTCTTAGCCTACTGATAAAAGAATAAAGTATGAACAATTAAACAGGTTGATGCTTGAAAAATAAATAAATAAAAATTTTTAAAATTAAAATTAAAAATAAATCCAAAGTTCTAACTGAAATGCACCTACCAATGGCGATAGATGCTCTCTGCTCTACTGTCCAGCAGCTCTTCAAAGCAAGGTATCCCCTTCTGGTAATGCCAATCATTAGGGGGAGAGAATCAAAAGATGGTAATTTAATCTATTCTATACACTCCCAGTAGACTTTATTTGTACAGAGCAACTCTTTCAATATCTAAGTTCAACATTTTGGTATTTTACTTGCTCAACATGTTTCACAGTCACAGCACCTTCCTTGTCGTTTGTACTCATTTTTAAAGTTCTTCTAACTTGTATTAGGCCAAATTAATGAAGAAAGGCTGAAGTTTTTTAAATACTAAAAACATTTTAGATCTATACCTAAAGCTAATGCACATAATACAGTGATGCAGTCTCAGGTGAGGTGATTTTCTGAGACTGACTGGTTTTTAAGTGGGAAGGGTTTTGTCCTCCAAAATTTTGTATGATGGTGGCATAAACACTGGAAGGTAACCCTCAAGGTCTAATCCTCAAGGTTTTTAATTTCATCATTTTTCACAGGAAAACAAAAGGAAGATTCACCAAGTTCTTGGTTTGTATTTTGCAGCACATTTGAAGGAATTTTAGGAACTGAAATACCATTAAACAAATAAACAAAAAGTTTTAACAATCAGTACTTAGTATAACAACATCTCACATTTCTGTAAGGGAATTCAGTTACTGTTCTTTTTTCTTAAATGGCTCTGAGTATTGTTTTGCTGTTTGCATAAGAATGTTTACTAACCTGAGTGTTTTCACATACTTGGGAAGCTTAGATTTTTGAAGGTTCCAGCAAACATTCAATTTGTGTCAGCCTGACATTAAGATATACTCCTTATACACAGCTCTACTCTATATTTCACAATGTGCTCAGTTCATTTACATTGATTCTATTTTTATAAATCTAAATAATCTCTTTATTGTTTTGGAAAAAAAACCCTCCAACAGTTTTTTCCCCCTTCTGTTCCCACACCACAGCAATCAACAATACACAAGCTAACTTTGGTAACCAAATGGGTGGAGGAAGCGTTCTCTCCACCACCAAGTGAGCAATCAATTCTGCAGCCGATACCAGTTGGGTGTCCTTCAATTCAATTCTAACACTATCTACCTGGAGACAGTGTCAGATTGAGGGCTCAGTCCCCAAGACTGCCCCTCTCCCCCAACATAAGTTCCAAGTCTAGGCCTCAGAAACTTCTGACTGACAGATTTCAAGTTGGGATTCTCACAAACCCATCTCTGCTGACAGAACTCAGGGATAAGTGTTTACCAGTTTATTACAGAGGTTATTACTAAGGATACAGATGAAGAGATGTGTGGGGTGAGGTATGGAAGAAAGGATACATCTATCAAGTACCATGCAGTGTGCTAGGTACTAGAAATATAGTGAGAAGTAGAACAGCCCTTGAGCTTAAATAGCCTCCCACTCTTTAGTCTACTGAAATAGTCACCTAATGCTGTATTCCCAAATGCTTGTCCAGCTGCATCATGAAGGACATTCAACATTTCAAATTCCTAGACCCCACTAGGAATTTCAATCTGTAAATTCTGATTCAGTAGATTTCAGTCAGGATTCCAAAATGGGAGTTTTTGAAAACTCCCAAGATGCCTAGGATACATAGGTTTGGGAACTACTAGCTGATCATTATTGCTAACCACTGTTACTCTGCTTTAATTTCTTTCTGGAGCCACTACCTAAAGATCCTTCCAAAGTAAAGAAATCTGGTATTATGTTCTGATTAAAATCCTATTAAATGTACACAGGACAAGGTCTAATTATTTTAAAAGGAAGCCCTCCGTTACCTAGTTTCCTGCCCATCTCTCTATCCTCATCATTTCCCACATTGTTCAGCCACATTGTAGTTACTCAAAAACACCATATTATTTCCTTTCTGGTTAAATTACTCTACTCCTCTGTCTGGAGGTACCCTTCCTAATATGTGGCTTGGTAAATTTATGAGAGAAACTTTTAAAGATTTAACTCAAACATCATTTTGTTTCTGGTTTTTTTTTTTTTTTCTGTCTTCCAAAACTGGCCCTCTCTGGTAGAACTGATCACTCTAATTATTTGGCCGTATTAATCTTCCTTTACAACCCTTAAAGATTCTTGGGGGCAGGAAACTGTCACACATTCATCTGTGTCTTCTCAATAGGGATATGCATATATTTGACTCTGGCGTTAGTATTTGGCCTAAATCTGCTATGACTTTGATTTTAGGCAAAGGAAAAGTTGACTGCCCTTTCAGCATTCTTTTGGGAATCCCTGACTTGTTCTTTATTAGTGATCCTATTATTATGTCAATTATAATAATTAAGAAGCATATCAATGCTAGTACTATAAACCAGACATACTATTTGAATTTACTACAGTTATCTGTATATGCATTTTCAAACATAAGCAAGCATACTAGATATAAGTTTCAGTGAAAACTTTATATTCTTTATCTCTCCGTTTCTTTGCACCCCTGGTCTTTTCCTGTAACAGCAACTAGACTAATCCTTTTAACAAGAAATCAAGTCATATCATTCCTCTCTGCTTAAAATGGTGTTTGCCTCATTCAGAGTAAAAGCCAAAGCGCTTCCAATAGTCCATATGGGCCACCACAATGGCTTCATTACCTCTTTAATCTCATCTCCTACCACTTTGCCCCCTTTGCTCATTCTGTTCTAGGCATACTGGTCTCCTTACTGTTCTTAAAACACTTCAAACACACTGCCTCCTAGGGCCTTTGCACTAGTTGTCCCCCTTGCCTGGACTACTGCTACCCTAAATACCTATGAGGCTTGCTTTTCCACCCTTTTCAAGTCTTTTTCCCAGTCTCACCTTCACTGAGTTGAGATTCCCTGATTACTACCTCCATCTTGGTCCTCTTGTCCTGCTCTATTTTTATAAAAACCTAAGTATGTATCTTACTTGCTTATTTTATTTTCTACCCCACCAATCCATACCTACACTGGAAAGTAAGTTTCAGAAAGGCAGGGACTTTTGTCTATTTTGTTCAATGATACATCCCAAGCACCTATAACAGTTTCTGACACATAAGAAGTATTCAATTATGTGCTAGCTGAATGTATGAATTATTAAATTGAGATTCAATCACTCAGTTGAAGTATAAATGTATATTTATACAAGAATAAATGCTACAATAACTGATTATGACAATTAATTTTGTGTACAAAAACAATAATTTATTCATCTAGCCAAGCTCCTGGCACAGAAAAGCAGCTTAGTAACTGTTAATAAATGAATCATGGAATAAATGTGAACACAGGCAAACATAGGCATTAGCCATAAGGTAAACATCAGAGCCAGCAGTGTCATTTTCCTGAAGACAAAAAAAAAAAACAAAACCCAAGCTACTAATTAAAACAATCATCCACCAGTATAACAATGAATATAGCATTACCATAAACCAAGGCAAATAAGTGATCTTGCCAGGAAAGAGATTTAGAGGTGTAAGGAAGAGCTGAGAAACTAGAATACTTATTTGCTGAAAAGAGGTTCAATGTTTAAGATTAGTTCCCTTATTTTTTTAATCTATACTCATAACTGTTACTGTTTTGCCCTAAGTTAATGTGGTCAGGAAAATGTATGAGTTGTAGTTAATGTTCTTAACCAATGAAATTATTAGCCAGGGACAGTGGTGCACTCCTGTAGTCCCAGCTACTCAGGAGGCTGAGGCAGGAGGATTGAGCCCAGGAGTTCAGGGCTGCAGTGAGCTGTGATCGTACCACTGCACTCCAGACAGACAAAGACTCTGTCTCAAAAAAAAAAAGAAAAAGAAAGGAA